ACAGATAGTCAAGTGCTCAACAAATGAACTATGACCACAAGAGGGCAGATGGTGATCGTGAAAACAAGCTGTGCAAACCTGGTGCGTTCGTATTTCTACATCTGTCTCCTATAAAGCACTTGGCTTGTACCTGAACCCCTCCGATGTACATCTATCACTGCTGTCCAGTTCTCTGCTCTTTTCGACACACCAGAAGAAAGCAGGCAGACTGGGATTAAAAATTGGCTTCAGACTTATGGGGACATTTTTACTGATTAAAATAGGAAACGCTCTCTGTGTACACAAAATGCTATTACTTTCAGCGGGATGTTTGTTAATTTCATTCCTGCATAGTTTGACCGAGGCAAACTCAGCGCATCTACCGAGGATGATATTCACCGACAAAGGTATGAAATATCTTGCTTTTTATTTAGATTTATTTCACTTCATACCCAAGAGAAATGTTAAGGTGTTTACAATTTTGGCAGATGTGATTTTTTTTAACTAGGCTTCTTATTCACACAGAGGACATTGCGCACTCATTTTCAAGCTGGTCCATGACCTGCACAAATACTGTAAATAAACAAAAAGAGACAGGCTACATTCAAGGGGAAGCTTTGACTGTTTTCTTTAGAATGAAATGTTACTTAATTAATTTACAGTCCTGACACCCGACTCTAGGGAAACTGTGCTGTCATTTTTCACAATTTACAGCATAATACTGTGTACACAGGAGTTAATGTAGCAGTTGATGCTCTGAATCTCTTTGCTTCCGTAGTTCTACTGTCAGGAAGAGCACAAATGTTCAATGCATTCAATGCAAAACCTATGTAAATCAGTGAAAACTGTGGTCGTGAGGACAAGTTAGAGATAACGTTTTAGACAAATTCACTAGCCTCTGAATGTTTCTCTTCATAGAGACCAATATACAGCATTTCGCATTGTCAACAGTTTTAACAAAGATTAAAACTAAATTTAATGTTTTAAAGAGTACAAATGAAATTTAAAAGTTTAATTTACAGTAGTTCAACCTCATCACGAGTGAGCCTTGGGCGTCTGTGACCCTGTTGCTGGTTGACTGTCTTTCCTTAGACACCATAGGTACTGACCATTGCAGACCAGGAACACCCAACAAGACCTGGTGTCTGGGAGGTGCATGTCTGAGCTAAATTTTATGGTAATCCATCTAATAGTTATTGGGAAATTTCACTCAAAACAGTGTGATGACATTTGGGGAAAAACTCTGCAGATCACCAAAGTCATCTGGGAATCATGAAGAACTCTTGTGCCAAACCACCTGGTAGATGTTGATATGTTTCACTGTGATGGTGGCACTAGGGGAAAAGTCAGAGGATCCATCCTCTGGGAACACCCAGTGCATATGCACAGGCCTTGTTAATCATCTAGTATTTTTTATTTTAGAGATTACAATTAAAAGAGTACCTTTACCTGGACATGATGTACCTGTGTGGATTCTACTGGAAGATCAGCCTGACAATGTCACAGTTATTGGACAAACAACCGTGACCTCATACAACTTTCAAAACCCTGAGAAGGTAGTAAATAGCTGTATTACTACAGCAAACTCAATTACTGAATTGCTGCACTGAATGAATTGAAGTAAGCCTTACTTATTTATATTACTGTGGAGCAAAGTAATAGTTCTATGTTATTTCTCTTCACAGACTCTTCTAGAGAGGAAGGTGTTGTGGAAGCAATGCATCAACAGTTCTCCACAAGAAGTGAGCAGCGTAAAATGACTTTGTGACAAACAGAGCAGAGTAGCTGGGCTGTCGGTTAAATCTGATCTCTTGTCATTTAGGATTGCAGCTATAACATTACTGTGGTCCACAAGATGAAGAAGGCCAGCCAGGTGTTTGTGTGTGGAACCAATGACAGAGAAACAGTATGCTGCGACATGGTAGGACACTGCAAACAACCAAGTGATGTTGATTCAGGAAAAATGAAAGGATAGCTTCGAAGATTTTTTTGTCAGCCTGTACCTACAATTGAAGTCAGAAGTTTACATACACTTAGATTAAAGTCATTAAAACTGATTTTTTTTTTTTTTTTTTACCACCCCACAGATGTCATATTAACAAACTCTCATTTTGGCAAATCGGTTAGGACATGTACTTTATGCATGACACAAGTAATTTTTCCAACAGTACAGACAGATTATTTCACTTATAAGTCACCGTATCACAATTCCAGTGGGTCAGAAGTTTACATACACTTAGATTAAAGTCATTAAAACTGATTTTTTTTTTTTTTTTTTTTTTTTTTTTACCACCCCACAGATGTCATATTAACAAACTCTCATTTTGGCAAATCGGTTAGGACATGTACTTTATGCATGACACAAGTAATTTTTCCAACAGTACAGACAGATTATTTCACTTATAAGTCACCGTATCACAATTCCAGTGGGTCAGAAGTTTACATACACTCAGTTGACTTCCTTTAAACAGCTTGGAAGATTCCAGAAAATGATGTCATGGCTATAGAAGCTTCTGATATTTACATCATTTGAGTCAATAGGAGGTGTACCTCTTGTATATAAAAGGCCTATACTTCAAACTCGGTACCCTATTTGTTTAACATCTTGGGAAAATCAAGAGAAATCAGCCAAGTCCTCAGATAAAAGCAATGTGGACCTCCACAAGTCTGGTTCATCCTTGGAAGCAATTTCCAAATGCCTGAAGGTACCACATTCATCTGTACAAACAATACTACCCAAGTACAGGGTGCCCCATGAAAAAGTAGCCTGGCTCCAATACCACACTTTCTAGTGCACAGGCTACTTTTCTGTGGCCCACCCTATATAAACACCATGGGACAACACAGCCATCACACCGCTCAGGAAGGAGATGTCTTCTGTCTCCTAGAGATGGACGTACTTTGGTCCGAAAGGTACAAATCCCAGAAGAGCAGCAGAGGACATTGTGGAAACACTGGAGGAAACTGGTACCACTGGCACTATATCCACAGTAAAACGAGTCAGATATCGAGATAACCTGAAAGGCTGCTCAGCAAGGAAGAAGCTACTGCTCAAAGACCACCATAAAAAAGACAGAGTACGGTTTCCAGTTGCACATGGGGACAAAGAGCTTACTTTTTGGAGAAATGTCCTCTAGTCTGATGGAACAAAAATTTGGCTATAAAAACTGTTTGGCTATAAAGACCATCATTATGTCTGGAGGAAAAAGGGGGAAGCTTGCAAGCCAAAGAACACCATCCCAACCATGAAGCACGGGGGTGGCAGCATCATGCTGTGGGGGTGCTTTGCTACAGGAGGGGCTGGGGCTTCATCAACTGCAGGCACCGAGATTTGAATCTTCAACCTTCCAGTTGGAGACGACTGCTCTACCCACTGCGCCACTGTCGCCTCCCAAATAGATGGCATCATGAGGAAAGAAGATTATCTGGATCTATTGAAGCAACATCTCAAGGTCTTCCAAATGGACAATGACCCCAAGCAGACTTCCAAAGCTGTGGCAAAATGGCTTAAGGACAATAAAATCAAGGTACTGGAGTGGACACCACAAAGCCCTGACTTCATTTCAATAGAAAATATGTGGGAAGAGCTGAAAAAGCGTGTGCAAGCAAGGAGACCTACAAACCTGACTCAGTTCTGTCAGGAGGACAACTACTACTCTACTTTCGGCTGTTCCCGTTAGGGGTCGCCACAGCAAATCCGATTCGCATGTGTAAATTTGACACATTTTTACACCGGGTGCCCTTCCTGACACAACCCTTTATATTTATCCAGGCTTGGGACCGGCACAGAGGTTACTGGCGTGAAACCCTTGTGGCTAGATACACACTCACTCCTGGGGGCAATTTAGAGTCTCCAATCAACCTAAGCTGCATGTCTTTGGACTGTGAGAGGAAGCCGGAGTAGTTCTGTCAGGAGGAATGGACTAAAATTTCAGCAGCTTATTGTAAGAAGCGTTTGGAAGGCATCCCAAAATGTTTGACCCAGGTTGAACAGTTTAAAGGCAATACTACCAAATACTGACCGAGTGTACGTAAATTTCTGACCCACTGGGAATGTGATGAAAGAAATAAAAGCTGAAATAAATCTTTTTCTCTACTATTATTTTGAAAGTTCACATTTTTAAAATTAGGTAGTGTTTCTAAGTGACCTAAGACAGGGAATGTTTATAGGATTAACTGTCAGGAATTGTGAAAAACTTGAGTTTAAATCTATTTGGCTAAGGTCTATGTAAACTTCTGACTTTAGCTGTACCTGTAAGATTGTGGGCAAATACATATGCTTTTATCAGAACTCTGGTACATCGGCTCTCAATGTGCAAACAGTAAACCAGCATAAGGCTGTGTAATATAACAAAAATAAGCACTATTTACAAGCAACAGAAAGTGCAAACAATGCAGAATAAGCAGTATAAACAGACAGTAAACAATGCATACAAAAAAGGAATGTTCATTGAAATGAGATAAATAGGGATAAAACAGAGCACTTAGGAACTAGAGACCTATACGAGTCTGTATAATCTGTACAATGTATATATACAGGTATTGCATGGTTTATTGTCCAATCATATGGTCATTGGTTAAGTGTTCATGAGAGCGACAGCCGGGGGAAGAAACTGTCCCTGTCCCTGGTTGTCTTAGTGCACAGTGACCTGTAACACCATCCAGAGGGGAGGAGTTCAAACAGATTGTGTCCAGGGTATGAGGGGTCAGCAGTGATCCTCTTCGCCCTCCTTTTGACCTGTGCAGTGTACAGGTCCTCCATGGAGGGCAGGCTCACACCAATGACCTTTATGAACTGGTTATACTCAAACAACACAGATCACTTAGTGATAGAGAATAGTGGGGATATTTCAATACATACTGTGCTTTTTTTTGTAGAATTTATCAGACGACCCCCCCAAGTGCAGTCCCAGAATGGGGGACATACAAAACAGCATAAGTAGGTTTGTCATAAAGGAAGGAGAACCATCAGCCCTTATGGGTGAGTTTTTGTACACATAGGATTTTTAAATCTGATAATGAATTTTTGTTTTCTGATTCAGCAGTTTTTTATGATGACTTTAGACTTTGTTTTATCCTCAAGGACTAATTTGACTTCACCCAGAAAAGGTGTTCGCTGACCATCGGTGCTCATTTCAGTCCTCCTACCCTGCCTTAATCAACTCAACATTGTCTCATTGTTTCTTCTTGCTTCCCACTGCTTACACTAGTCAGACCAGACTCTAGTTTCTGGTATCAAAGCTAGTAGAGAAATACAGTAGCATGTTTCTCAGTGAGCGGTCAACACTGACATGAGAAACTTTTTTGTTTTCCCAGAATCAGCAGAAAGTGCAGATCTCTACATTACACGCTCTGGATCTCAGTCTCATGTTGGCATCCACAAGTTTGGAAAAAACAGGGTTGGACCATCAGACCATAATAAAGGTATATGCATGCCAATGCATTTCTGTAAGAACTTGAGAAGTTTCATTTGTTAAGTGATGATACCTTAATTTAAGGTAATGAATGAACAGTTAAGATCCTTAAATGATCATTATGGGTGGCACAGTGGCACTGTGGTTAGCGCTGTCACCTCACAGCAGGAAGGTTCCAGGTCTGAGCCCTGGCTGAACCGATGCCTTTTTGTTTGCATGTTCTCCCTGTGTCTGCTTGGGTTCTCTCCAGGTACCCTCTGCTTCCTCCCACAGTCCAAAGACATGCAGCTTATGTTGATTGGTGACTCTGAATTGCCTATAGGAGTGCATGTGTGTGTTTGTCTGTCTCTGTGTGTCAGCCCTGTGATAGACTGGCAACCTATCCAGGGTGTACCCTGCCTTTCACACCGTGTCAGCTGGAATTGGCTCCAGCCCCTCATGACCCTATTCAGGAATAAATGGTATAGATAATGGATGGATGGACGTTTATTATGTCCTAAGGCTACACACACAAAAAGCCACTTTGTTTTTTTGTGTTTAGAGCAGCACTATGTGGGTCTGATATTCAGCAGACGGACAAACGACTCTTCCCAGGACAAAGTTTATGCCTTCTATAAGGAGAGAAACAATGACCCAGGCTTGTACAGTGGCATGTGGCTACCTTTTGTGACCCAGGTTTGCATGGTAAGTCCTGATTAATTAAATAATGTTAGAAAAGTGTATTATGAGGAAGTGATCGATCCTTTGGCTGTGCATTGCTTCTAGGCAGATATTGGTGGTCCTAAGAACCAACTGCAGTTTAAGTGGACTTCCCAGATGTACACGAGGCTCTTCTGCGGAGACACTAAGAGCAAACAGCATTTTTCTGAACTGGTAGATGTGGCCACAGTGCATGCAGACCGATGGCAGGACACCAGAGTTTATGCACTCTTCAGAAATGAATGGTAGGATTCTGCCATCATTCAAGCAATAACTGATTGAATATTGAAAGGTTTTACTCAAGCAAGAACACTGCTAACTTAATCAATATTATGAGTGTGATCAAAGTTGGAATGAGAGGAATTACCCTAGGAAGCAGGGTCATAACTTAAGCATTTGCCTAATCAAATTTTGCTCTTTTTTGTTATATTTGACTTGGACACTTTTCAGCATCATAAGATTATAGTCAGCCACATGATGTAAAGTGAAATGCTGACTGACTTGGCTGCTATGCTATCTGGTCTTCATGTACAGTAATAAAGCCATTACTTTATCAACCAGTTTCACCAAACAAAAATATATAAACTCAAACCATCAGACTGTACAGGTGGTTGCATACACAAACATAAAATGAGGGATATGTTATTTCTTTAGATAAAAAATGGCCAAACCACTGTAGATCAGCTTGTCTGTGCTTTGAGGATTATGTTCTTTCTCATTTGTCAGAATAGATAACATTTTTTGCTTCCTCTTGTTTTTGTTGGGGCAGAAGAAGAGTTTAGTTTGGTTCCTTTTCCTAACCTAAACTCTGTCTGCTAAGCTATCTCACCGTTTTTATTTCTCAGCATAGATAACATCGTTATTGACCTCACAGTTTGTTCTCTGTGTAGACCTGCTGAAATCTGTGTCTCTCTGCAGGGGAATGAGTGCTGTGTGCGTCTACATCATACAAGATATTGACCACGTCTTCACAACCTCCCCGTTGAAAAGTGACGGCACAGACAAAACCAAGAAAAGGCCTAGGACAGTATGTCTCAGTCAGACTGATCAGATGTGAAGAATGTAACAACTGGTCTTCTCACACATGATTCCTGTTATTATTATGGCTGCAATCTTTCAAACCATAAGTTTAAATATAGTTACAAAGCACAGGATGCTAATTAATCCTTAGTGATAAGCATGACAATCTTTTTATTGATAAATCAGCATAACTTCACATTTTCTGAGATTTGCCTAATATTTTAGATTAAGTCCATTGTCATATTTTGTAGTTGCTTTAAACTCACCAGTGGTGTTACAAAGATACCAAATAACTGCATTAATAGTGTTCTCTTATTAATGGTTCTTTTATCAAAGCAAATATTTCTAGAAATTCCCCACTTTTACATCCCCAGTGGTAGCATAAAAAAGATACTCTGGCAGATGGCTATGCCGTCCCATCTTAGTGTGAACCTGAAGTGCATATTTGAGACCTCTTTTACAAGATTCTGATTTTAAAACAAGTCAGCTGGAAACTTTAAAAGGTAAGCCAGCAATTTGATCCCACAGTACATGAAGTTAATGTTAGATCAGTTAGTTAGCTACTGTAGCTACAGCTGGTAAAGTCTGCTCACAACAGTTGTCATTTGAGCTGTCAAAACTGATCATCTGTTGCTAGAAATGAGAAGCCTGTCAGTGTTTACCTCCATCTAAACTCAAGGGAGCCATTGTTTCAGAAGTTACTCTGTTTTGAGTACATCAGTCACCATTATAATTGTCAAGTGCAAATATGCTGTGTCAGAGAAACTTTTAAAGCTGTATTAACAGCAACTAAGTGGGGTGGGACTTAGTGAGCTGTTGTGCAGCTATTCTAAAACATGCATTTTTTTCCTTCAGTGCATTAAAGACAGCACTTTGACGCCTTCAGAGGCCCTGAGAATCACTTCGGAGATGGAGCAGTGGGTCCAACCTATGAACAACTCTGGTCCACTTCTCTTTAATCACCACAACTACACTCACATCTATGTTGACAGCTCCCAGTACAAGCAGAACTATCACCACATAGTTCTGTTTTTGTCTCTAAGTGAGTAATACAGTAATTTACTATGAACAGGGAAGTTGAGAAAGAATTCTGCACTCTATATTGGGCTACATTTGATTACTCAGGCAGTTTTCCTTAAATAGCTTGGAGAAAATCAACTAAATTCAAAGTTTAACATAGAGTAGCAGCTGAAACAGAAGTACTGAAGTACTAGGCTGCAGAAGCCTACAGTAGGTGTGTGGTGAAACCCAGTTGGGGGGTCAAACCAAAAAGGTTTCCTGTATGAATTGCACAACCTAAAATTTACCCCTTGAATGCCAAGTAGAAATGTAGTACAGTTTTGTAGTAGAAGTTGGCTTGAATTTAACACAAAAGTCCCAGATTTCAACCTCTTCCTAGAAAGTTATACTGTGGAGTAAATTTATCTTGGCCTCTTAAAAATGTGCATATAGAAGAAAGTGAAGAAATACCTTTTTTGTGTGTGCTTTTTGTTTATTTTTTGTTTTGTTTTGTGGTTTTTTGGGGTGTAATGCTTTCATATGACTGACCCACCTCCAGCTCTAGACAGCTCCAGAAACAGGCCTTTGGTTTTAGGAATATTGTTATTTCCCAAGAACCAAAAATGCATCATGTAAAAAATGGGTTATCAGTTGTTTTATTTGACCTCTCATAACTCATGTAACTCTTATATATCATACATCACTCTTGCACTCTTTGATAACCACTCAATTTGTGTGTTCAGACAGGTTTCAGTGATTAATTATCCTCCTTCTTGTGCCTTTTAACAGATAATGGAGCAATTCATAAGATGATGCAAAATAAAACTCAAGCCTTCATCATCACAGAGTACCGACCTTTCAACCATCATACTCACATCCTCAGTATGACCCTACATCCCTCCTCGGTGAGTCAGTGCTGCCTACACAACCACTCTGACTACCAAGATACAAGCGTAGGAGAATGGAATGTACTATTCATACAGTGAAAAGTAAAATGGTAGTACTACTTAGGACCACATGACTTGCATCTTTGGATCAAGCTGAACCTTTTTCTCAGAACATTGGTCTTTTTAGAAACAGTCCAGTACAATTAGAAAACCTGTGCTCTGTGTATCATTGCAGAGGAAGCTCTATGTGAACTCCAGAAGTGAGCTGGTCCAACTGGATGTGACAAACTGTGTCCAGTATGGCCACAGCTGTGAGGACTGTGTCTTAGCCAGTGATCCTTATTGCGGTTGGAACGGCACCCACTGCATCCCTGAGACACAGTAAGACTACAGAACTTGATGTACCCAGACATCTGTAATCTCAGTTCAAATCCAAATATAAATTCTTCATTTCGCATCCATAGATTTTACATTTAGCACCTTCAGCTTTGATTTGCTAAGGGTGCACTCTAGAGTTTTCTTGTAAACAAACAAAGATTACGTGAAGTGTTTCTCACCGTTTTCTTGTGCCTAGGCTTAAGATCTAACAAAGTTTGCACTTTTTGCATGAAAATGGTGGTGGAAATGTATATTGCATTGTTTTTGTACACATGGGGATCCATTCATAAAAATATTGCTCCTTAGCACTACTAATGGCCAAAAACCTCAAAGGATATCTTTTATTTATACAGATACAATGCCACAGACCTGTGGCACCTGGGCAGACAGGCCTGACCCATAGTGGGTGCAATTCCCCTAATTGCATCTGTGGTTTCCTCACTTGCAATTTTTCTTTGCGTTTTAGTCCCACTGATGTGAGACAAGAAAAGATGCAAAGACAAACTGCAAGGAAAGAGGAACCAAGGAAATGTTTTAACTGATATGAGACGTCCTTTCTCCAATCTTTCTTGTGAAGCACCCAATCACAACATGATTTCTGATAAATTGGTGCGTCAGTCTGTAACAGACTTTTGGGAAGGATATATTCCTGTTTCTTCGGTTATAGCTCCTCCAAGTAGCCTCCTTGCTCCTCAGAGAAGAAATAAAGAGCTTTGAGACATCCTTCATCATGGTGGACTGGAATGACTTCTGGGTTGAGCGAAGATCAAGGATTGAGAAATAATAAAATAAGGGAACTGAGATTCACCTCTGGTGTTTTAACATCAACCCTCTTTAATCGTGCTCAACTAGGTGGGTACAGGTTAGCCTCTGTTACCATCTGTTCCTACCATACGGGGGTAACCGTGCTGACCTGGGCTCAGTTGGCCCTGTGTATGAAGGCCACATATGCTAACCCCTGGACATAGGAATAAAGCTTAACACACTCACACTAAGGTGGCATATTTGAAACATATTAAAGCTCCAAACACTCCTTGAGGTTTTATGATGGAGATATTCACTCAGTAATTGACTACCATGAAGCTGAACAGACCTCCCTCTTTCTAGTTATTAATTCAGGATAAGACCCCCATGGGCACCGACAGCGATGGCGACAGTGGTTACTCGCGCTCTCGTGTTTGTTGTTTTTCTTTGTTTTCTTAGCCTTTTGCAACTCATCCCGGATTACTTTTACCAGAGAAGAACTGTTAAATATCGGACAACTCACACCAAACTACCTTCCACGGATTTTTGTGAATGAAGAATGCTGTATGGACTTTCTGACCGGAGGCGCAGCAGCGATATAGGGGACCTGGAAAAAACGCCGCCGCCGTGGAAAACGCTCTGGCGCTTTGGTGAGGTTACAGAGGGGAACTCGGACCGCACTCCCATCTATTCACCTGGCTAATCTCCGCTCCCTGGTCAACAAAATGGATGAAATTCTTCTCGTTAGCGGGACTAACTCTGACTTTGCATGCTCTACTGCTTTGTGCTTCACGAAGACCTGGTTCAGCGACTCGATCGCGGTCAGTGCGATTCAAGTACCGGCCTTCTAGGTGTTCAGAGCGGATTGCATAAAGAAGATGTCCGGGTAAACGAGAGGAGATGGAATCTGATTCTACATAAATGAAAGTTGGTGCACAGATGTCACAGTGCTACAGAGGACATGTACCGCAGACCTAGAGTCTCTTGTTATCAACTGCAAACCCTTTTACTCTCCCCGTGAATTCAACAGTTTCATGCTAATGGGAGTGTACATAACACCGCAGGCTAATGCTAGCGCGCTACGGCTCCTAGCAGAACTGATAACTAGCCTGGAGCTAGAACATCCTGACTCTCCACTCATTGTTCTAGGGGACTTTAACAGAGCAAATCTCACCCACGAACTGCCCAAATACAGACAGCACGTCACCTGTCCCACCAGGGACAAAGCCACACTGGACCACTGCTACACAACAATAACAGATGCCTATTGTTCTGTCCCCCACAGCCCTCGGACTCTCAGATCACTGTATGGTCCATTTTATTCCAACCTACAGGCAGAAACTTAAAGCTGCAAAGCCTGTGGTCAAAACAGTGAAGAGCTGGACTGAGGAGGCTAAGTCAGAACTACAGGCCTGCTTTGACTGAACAGACTGGAGTGTATTTGAGTCTGCAGCTACAGACCTGGACCAACTCACTGACACTGTGACACCTTATATCAGCTTCTGTGAGGATGTGTGTGTGCCCAAAAAGTCCTTCTGCACATACAACAACAACAAGCCCTGGTTCACAGCAAGACCCAAGCAGCTTTGTCGTGCCAAAGAGGAGGCTTACAGGTGTGGGGACAGGACTCTGTACAGCCAGACCAGGAATACACTGTCAAGGGAGATCAGAGCAGCAAAGAGGAGCTACTCTGACCCCTCATCTGTGTGGGGGAGCCTGAAAACCATCACTGGCTATATTTTATAGGGTTCTGGTCAGTAGTCTTTGTCCTCTCATCCAACCAGATGCCGCAGTTTGCAGTTAATACCTTATTTGGCATGCAAAGTCATGTTGTTCTGAAGTTTTGCATATTTTTTTACTGTCACAGCTCAAGCCTACTGCCTGTAACCGGCCTCTGCCCCACTGTGATCCAGCCTTGGATTCTACTTCTCTTTTCTTAGAAACTAAACCATCTGAATACATAACAAAAATACAAGAAACTCACATCTGACTGAAATATCAAAATTCCATCATTGCTTTTAACAGAACAATCAGAATCACACACTAGTTTCACACAAAACTATCAATGCCTTAAAATCAAAACATAAATCTTTATATTTTGAATACTTTACTTTGACTAAACATTGATTAGACACCGATCAAACAATTATCAGTCAAATCTTTACTTTTAGGCTCAAAACCATCATTTTTACATCCTTAATAAGCTGTGTGTCTTTTCTCTGTGTCACATACACGAACTTTTGTAGTTCCTCATTTCAACAGGGCTGTGTGTCTACTGTATTTCCTCTTTTCTGTGACTCTGCCTTTTTCACTCTGTGAGATGTAAATCACTTTTCCCCGTTCTTTTAATACAATCATTTCACATTTTATTCTTAACATATTCACTAATGATTATTTCAACACACATAAATCATCTTATGATTATCTTTACTTATTAAAAGCTTAACTTTCTAAGCATTCTGCCATAGCATTTTAATAATAATTCCTTTGTCTTCTCCAACCTCCCCTGGAACTTCCTCTTTCTCAGCCTTCTCTGTTTCTTGGTTCTCTCTGGGACCCGTATTTACAGCCTCGCTGACACCTGCTTCTGCCCAGGGCCAAGTGGGACCAAGTCCTGCCTTTAACAGAGCCAGCTCATCAAGACACGATTGGTTGAAATGTTCTAAGGGAAGTCCTTACACATTCAGCTGTCACTTTTTTATCAGTAATTTCACTGCAGCAGGATTTGAAAATTGAGTCTCTCACTTGGTTGTCTGATAAGGGGTCAAAATAATGCCTAGCACCAAGGGCTCCATGTTGCAAGCTAGTAACACCACACTGACACCATAAATCATGTCGCTTCTCAGTGGCTGTTGCCACCCACACAATCAAGATGCAGAAGATCATCATGTTTTATGGTGCAGTGGAAACGCAGCCGCACTAACATGGGAGCAGCTAAGCACTGCTCTGCCATGCTGGTCAGTGAGGGTCTGCGCAGACTCTGTGTGGATGTCCATATGCAGGCCACAAATTTGTGTCCATGTGGATGGTACCACAATGCTTGGAAACCGTCAGTGTACACAGACAGAAGGAAGACCCTTAATCTGAACTATGGATAGGAACACGTATGCATCCCTTGCCTGTGTCTGTGTCTGCATATGCACCAGGGTTTGCACAAATCACGTCTGTCCCTTTACAATGGTGATGTAAATCATGATACTAAAATCTTTAGCACCCAAGTGTCCAGAAGTGTTGACTATGGGTAGATCTTTGTTAAATTCATTGTAATGACATGTAACTAAAATACCAAAATATGCAAGAGCTTCTTACTTATATGACTTATTTACTGCCAGTGAATTTTAATTCTGGTCTATTATTGACACAAGTGACTAGATGCTAAATTCAGATTGTAAACATGTTTGTTTCCTCAAAACAAATGATTGCATCAGAGCTTCAAACAATCAAAAACAAAGAAACAAATAGTACAAGCATGAAATCATCGCTAATTTTCTCAAAAACCTTAAACACAAATCCAAATACTCAAACTAAAATCACAAAACCTCTGACTCGTCTGGCAAAATCAAACAATTGCTTCCAAACCATGTCACCAGCACTCAAAATCAAACAATGCTTTCAGATCATACACACACAAGTCAATCATATACACACTGCAGCTCAGTCATTGGACACTACATCAAAAATGGGGAACACAGCATCCAGGACATGTAGTTACAACAAAAAATAGTTTATTGTATATAGTAAAAAACACAAAACAAAAGAAGTCACACCTAAGTATGGTGAATTTACCAAAAACCATGTTACGATCAAAAAGAAGAAGAAGAAGAAAAAAAAACACATCAGAAAGATTATTCTGCCTCAGGATCACATCTTTGAGCTGGGCCCAGCCAGAGGGCTTCATCTATGTCACAGGCAATGTTGTCCCTTCCCAGGCAATGGGCAAAAAAACCCTCTGATGTGGCGGATCCAGCCTTGACAAGACTGCACGTCTATGTCACTGCAGGCCAGTTCCATTGCCTGTAAGAGATTTTCCTTGCTATATGCACTCTTCCTCTACCTCTCATATTGTTATCCATAGGCCTTTAATACAACAGCTTTTACTGTAGCATAGCCCGTACTGTCTGCTGGACTTAATGCAGAACAGGTTTTTTAGCTTCATCATTAAAACACACTGAAGCAACAAATACCATACAAATACCAAAAATACCAAATACAATCAAATCTGCCATTCACTCGAACAAGGAGAAAACTGTGTCTGCGTCACAACAAGAAAAAGGTTTGCAGTGTACCCTGCTTGAACATTCAGACAACTTCCCCTTAGTCAGGTGCCATCTGTACAGTTTCAGTTCTAGTCTAGTTTGTTCTGTTTTGAAATAAAAATGTTTCCAGTTGCCCCAGTTGCAGCATCACTACCTTTTTTGTTGTGTACCATCTAACCCTGCCTTAACATAACTATGCTGAATCCTTTCAAAATAAGTTTCATATTTTCTTTCAAACATTTATTTCTAATCTTAGTATTATACTGTTCAGTTATTTTCAAAAGTTAATCTTAGTGCACTGACTGAGAATGTGATCAGAAAAAGAGAAGCTGCTGTCAAAATTTGACCTGCTAATGATGAAATGGAAGCTAAACTTTACAGCCCACATTCAAAGGTTCCTTCCACTTTGTGTAAAACATGGTGTAGGAAAGCACCTAAAAATATGGAGAGTCCCCCCCACCTAATCAAACAACTTAGCTAATCAAATTTAACCCTATGGTCTTTGGGCACTCACATGTGGGGGCCACTTCCAGTGTGCACTCTAAACCAGTGGGTTGAAGGAAGCAACCAGCAGCCTTGGCAGCTCTCCCAGAGTCCCAGAGATGTCCTGAGCAAGCTCCACATTGACCACCTACCAAGAATTTATAAAGGTGGACCCTCTAAACAGGAGCCACCACTGTACCTAACAGAGGGAAAACACCTTCAAACTATGACTGTCCCCTTCCAGTCTACACAACAGCAAATTTGGAATGTTGGAAAGGCTGTTCAAGCAGGGACAACTAGTGCTGTCCCCAAAACAAATCACCAAAAGCCCCAAACAAATCAAACAAAAACAAACTAAAAGCTGAATTTCCTATCCAATTGCACCAGTAACACAGAGAGGAAATCTGAGTACTTACAGTAACACTCTCAGGAAGCAACAGTCCCAGCCAAACGATTACTAATTTAGAGCTACCAAGTATTGAGCCAAATTCCAGTCTAAAATCAAGATAAGCTAACATTGTGTCACAGCCCAGGCCCATGCACATAAAGTTTTATTGTAAAGCCATTGAAAATAAAGTCCTTTTATCTTTATCTGTGGGTTCACAAGAAGTATTAGGAGCCTGAATCCATTGTGAGTGTGTATTGTAACAGTTGTGTATGTGGTGTAAAACACTGAGCCAAGTGCTGTGCCTTATGACATACAGTACATTAAACTGCTGACATTGCAGATACTAATTCCATCATGTGTGTGAATAATGGTGTTGAATTTATAGTGTTTGCTGTTACAAGAATCTCCAGGTTTACTAACACTCATTGTCTTTATTGTGCCTTTCCTTTTGACAGTGGCACGCTGCACAATGTGGCCACAAGGACCTGTTCCATCTCCCCGAACCTAGAAGGTATGAGGATATCTTAGGTTACTGTGCAGGTGTATTCACAAAGAGTAGTTTGACACACTTTATAAGTCATGCTGAAACAACTTCAATATGTTTTAGAATGGGCGCAGATACACCAGTGTTTTCCATGGTTTAACACAAACATTAACTACAAGCTAATTTCATGTGGCTGATTTCAACAGATGTATCCTAAATCATCAAAAGTGTCTGCCTAACGCAGATTCAAAGGGGTAAATGAGTAAAGGCATGATTTGTGAAAATCTGAACCATTCAACAAAAAAGCAAAGTCTATTTCCCAAAATCTCAAACTATTCCATTAAAGCCCCTGAAACACTGATTAATGTTGTTATTCTGCTGGGGCATCACATTCCTATTACATCCATTGTCATTCTGTACAGGTTGAACAATTATTGTGCAAGACTGTAACAATGGGGTTTGCTTGGAGAGAGAATATTCTAGATCAGTGTTTCCTTTGTGGTCTCATATCACCAGCAACCTAACAAGATGGTGTTGGATCAGAAACTGGTCACAGCACTACTCCGGCCCGGCGTAATTGATGTGGCCCGCGGGCCTTGAGATTGACACGTATGGTCTAGACCAATAACACCAAGCAACCATAAGAGAAATGAGAACCTTTCCACAAGGCTTGTCATGGTCCAGTTGAAACAGGAAACCAGTCTGGTTAAATAAAGAGAAAACAAATGCAACTAAATCAACATCCTTCCTAAAGGTAACAGTCCTTCTGTTCTTTCCTCAGCATTTAGATATCCCACTGATACATATGCAGACAAGGATGTGGACAGCATCACACTTCCCTCTGAGTCCAAGTATTTCCTCCAGTGCCCAATGTCATCCCATCATGCCCAGTATACCTGGTATCACCATGAAAACTCCATATCCTGCAGCTTGAAGGAACACAACTGCCTACTTCTGATCAACAGCATGGGTCCTGAGCAGGAGGGAATTTACAAATGTGTGTCGGAGGAGATGGGCTACACAAAAGTCCTGGCAGTGTACCGATTAGCACTGAGCAACAAGACGGCAAGCCGATCATCTAGGCCTCTGGTTTGGGTTTGGCTGCTGGCTGTTCTGATTAAGCATTTGTCCTGTTAGCTCCCTATGATGTGAATATTGTGGTATGTGTCTCATGTCTTTACTAGCACAATAGCACATAAACAGAATGTAGGCTTTAACCGGTGATGATGCAATAGCTTGTATTAATAATTCCATTATAAACAATCTCAATGCAAAGTTACACAGAGCCCCAGACTGTGCCTCTCGTGTATTATTGCATCCAGTACAGTCAGAGTGAAGGATAGTAGATCAAGAAAAGACATCATTTTGCTTGTTTTGTACAACAGCAGAAAAGGTACTTGCACATTATTTAAGACAATCAAACAAATTAAATAAAGGTAATGAATAATGACAAATGTATGTGATATTAAAACTTTTAAAATTTGGCTACTATGTTATACAAATTGAGCAAGAAGCATAAAGCTGAGACTTGAGAAATCTAAACTACTTTCAAAGATGTTCAGTGAACTTCAGGAGTTTTGAAAGGTTGCCACCACAGATTATTTTTCAGAAAACCGGATGCTGCATTGGGCTGTCCAAAACAATTGCAATTTCCGATCTTATACCACAGCACCTCAGACTCTCTTGGGTTGCAACAGAGTGTTCAGTATGTCAAGATCAAAATAGCTTGGTCATAGTGGGAGAATCTGCAGAGGTGTTGTTGAAGGTGCTAGGTTGAGACATTTGTTCCAGTCCAATTTTAGTCAGAGTTTATCTTGGTTGAGAGTCAATGCGTGTGAAAATTAGTATGAAAAACACGGGACAGCAAAAGGCAGCAGCAGCATGCCACAGTGCCAAATGTTTGTTTATATCAATTAAACCACTATGGCATTCAAGAAAAACATCCACCTGACCTGTATTTGTTGCTTTTACTTACTGTAAATGCCAATTAAGCATTTTGTTTTCAATGTGTTTAATAGGATGGCTTGTTTGAACTTAAGATAAAATTGGATAATGTGAGGCGTGTTTTATTTTTTTGAAGACTAATAAAAATATATTTCATTGTATGAAATGTATTATGCATTAATGTATCAAAATAAGCATGTGCACATGGATCTTCGCTGTTTTGGAAAAACAGAAAAGACTACCTTCAACTTATTGGTATACAATATTTGTATCAAAAGGTGCTACTATCTGATTGGTCAAAAACTGTTGGGGAGGAGCCGTGGTTTAGACTTAACTCTCCCGTTATTGGTCCTTCAGTCCGTCCGTCCTCCTACGTCCTTTCTGCTCCAATCGTAGAGGACAGCGCCCTAGGAAGGGGAGGAATACTTAATACTGCCTTAATTTGTTTCTAACTAACTGCTCCGTATTAGGCATTGCTTTCCTTAATGCACCTTATTGGATAAAGCAACACAATGATTAGTGTTCACTGTAAGATAAATATCTGAAATATAACTCCGCCTATTTTTAAAAGGTTACTAATTTTTTCTCACTTACCTTTAGTGGTAATTATCCTTACAGACAGCTTAGGGTTTAGTTGATAAATACATCTCTTACATTTCTCCACCCCCAAAACAATGGCGGTCCATGTCCTTGTAGACCACATGTGTCAAACTCAAGGCCCGTATAGGCTCTATTTTATTATAAAGCCTTTTTTGGTTCTTTCAAACCAGGAACTCCGAGGGACGACTCAGACCACTTGGATATATAAAAAAATATAACCGTGCAGGTTTATTCAAGGATCACAGGCAAAATTAACATTACAAGTCCAGAGATCTTCCAACCCCCAGGCTGCCCAAGCAGCCCGGAAGCAGAAAAGACCCCGAACCTAGAATTGCTATACAATATCATCACTTAGTTGGCTCGCCCCCTCCTCCACAGAAACGTCAACCGAGACGTCTCTCTCTCACCAGCTTTGCAGCTGGCTCTGTCAATAGTCACAACATGAAGAAAACAATGTGTGTGAATGTTGATTATGCGGTGTGTAGCTAAAAACACTGTAACACAACAATTCACATTAAGAAAAATATTATGGTTACTTTTACCGTCATAATAACATTTATCCCTGACTGCAGCCTTTCTCTGCTTTAACTAACCTTGGCCTAGCTGCAGTCTTGCAGAACTCATCAGAATAAACTGAGCATTTAACAGCCTGAGGAAGACATCCTGGGTACACTAACATTTTCTAATATAACAGATCTCTAATCACTATCTATCTTTAAGAAAATACCTAACACCCGCTTTCAGCTTTTTCCCGTTTTAGGGGTCACCACAGCGAATCGTTACACTGACGACTGGCATGTTGACATTTGGCACGTGTTTTACGACGGATGCCCTTCCTCATGCAACCCTGATTCGGTGAAAGCGCTTGCACTTTAACCACTAGCCCACCAGGGAAGACCACAAAATACAAATCCCATAATGCAGCGCACCAGCTGCCTTACCGAACGATAGGCTACCTGCGATCATTCCTGCGTCAATTACATCAGATCAATCAAGCGTCTGTTGATGTATACAACCCTAATTTCAAGTCAAATCTAGCCCCTAACAATGGCCAAGAGAAAAGTTGATTCTGAAAACAGAGCCTTTCTAAACCGGTGGGAGGCTGAGTATTTGTTTACTGACATTGTTGGTAAACCCGTGTGTCTTATTTGTGGAGCTAATGTGGCTGTAATTAAGGAATATAACCTAAGACGGCACTACGAGACAAAACATCAGGACAAGCTGAAAAACGTGAATGAAGAGCAGAAGCTACAGAAGGTAGAGGAGTTGAAGAGGAATCTGACATCACAGCAGACATTTTCACCAAAGTGAAATAAGTTTTATTGAGGAGAAAATCAGCCCGGACATTTACCGAGGGAGAGTTTCTGAAGAGCTGCATGATGAAAGTGTGTGACGTCTTGTGTCCAGACAAAAAGCAGGTGTTTGTAAATGTAAGGCTTAGCAGAAATAGGGTTGGTGATTTTAAGTTCAAGTTTATTTATTTTGGAATAATATTGTATCCTGTCTGTTTCAATTCATATTTATGTTAAAAAATGTTTAGTTTTAGTCTGTTCAATAAATGTTTATCCTGTTCGGCCCGCGACCTAAAGTGTGCTTTGAGCTTTGGCCCCCTCTGCCATTGAGTTTGACGCCCCTGCTGTAGAGCTTCAGCTACTGAGGGCAGTCATCGGGGTAAAAAACAAACAAACTTCATGTTACAGTGAAAAGGTGTTTTGATGAATACAATGATAAATTTATGTGACTGTACAGTAAACTGTTACATGTTAGTAATGGCTGTTTAATCCGATTTCTCTTTTGATCGGTACATTTTGGAAGAAATTATATGTATTATATTATAATTTATCTATATGCATTTATATATACACCCCCCCAATTCTTTCCTATTTTTGATTGTACACATGTTCTATTTGAATGCATATTTTTATTCTCTCTCTTATTTTCATTATTTTCTATTTCCTCTTGCCTACAAACACATTGAGATTCTTTGCACCCAAGTCAAATTCCTTGTACTGTATATTCACACATACTAGGCCATTAAAGACGATTCTCATTCAACCATTGCTGATTGGGAAGATAAAGAAAGGGCTGATGGGAAGTCACATTTTCACAGCTTGTATGGTTTAATTTCCTTAATGTGATGTACATTGTTAGATTAGCAGAAAACTGTCACGTCAGGCTGATAAGTAAATGACAGCACTTCCTAAAACCAGAGTGACTCATAAAAAAGGCTAAGGTCATGTGTTTTTATAGAATAACCAGCTAACTCATTTCAGTATCAAGTGCCGTGAGACAGTGTCTCTTGTTAAGGAACTTGCTGAACCTGTGATAGAAAAACCTGTCTATGGACAGAACATGTATGTTCACTTTACTGGAAATCCACTTGCTTCCTGGTGGTTTACCAATAATGTAATCTTAAGTGTTGCAGCAAAAAAGGAAATGTGAAATGAACACTTAGCAAGCACCATATCTGGTGGTGTCACAGGCCCAAAGGCATTTTAAGGAATGCATAAATCAAACACACACACAGAAATAAGATATAAAGTAAAACTTTATCATGACATACAAGTTTAAAGCCCTGAGAACCATATCTTTATATTACTAATATGAACAAAACTGAATGTGTGAAAACCACTTTGGAAAAGTGCTCTGTAAATACAATCAGCACAAACCAGTTTTAACAAGCATTCACATGTTTTGTCCTATTTTTTGTTTGCTTTAATCAAAGAGAAAACTATAATATCAGTAATATTATTATCATGTCAATAATAACAGTACAAAAATATGCACAAACCCCACAGTTGAATTAATATACGGAGTATTGTACAAGCCAAAAATAACAACATAAAATTGATAAATGAGGTATTCAATAACCACTTGCATATGCGCCTGTTTTTACAAAGACCAGGTTAGTTTTTAAACAATTAAAAAACCAATTAAGCCCAAAATCATATGAGACAAAGGGTTCTGCAGACTTCCAACTTCACAGCTTCCTGAGTGACGAGACTTTGTCTGCAGTTACTGATAACGAAACCCCCAAACAATGCAACACACATTAAAGTAGCATTCAGCAAAGTGAATGCATTCTACCAGTACTCGTCTCTGCAGCTATAGCATTTGACCGCAACTTTCACTGCAGCCCACTGCCACGAGGTATTGTGGTATGATGAGGTAGGGGGAGGGGTCCCTAATAGACATATACACGGATGCAGGCTTATAGGCGCAACACATACAGTATATACTCTATCCACACAGCAGATCACGTGGCAGGAGCCTGGAAGTTGGTGAAGTGACCAGAGAGTTACTGAATAGAAGTCCAGACAGCTGGGACGAGAAGTGACTGACTGACCATCAACACTATCCACTCCCTAAAAATGTGGGAGAGAACTTTCCCATTTAAAGAATTTTGAAAAAGTCATTAAAACCTGATGTCAGTGGCACCACCTGCTGCATGCTCAATGTTATTACAAGTGCATATAGGCATGTTACTCCACTTGGTACAACTCCAGTCACATACTGTATATTCTAAACCCACCTGTACAAACTCAAACAAACAAACACACACACACACACACACACACACACACACACTCCAAGGCAGTGAAGCTACACTATCAAACAGCTGTTGCGCAGACTAAGCACATGAAACATAAACCTCAGATTTTAAAGCAAGAAAATGTTTTAGTAACCGCCTATTAAGCTTAAGTGTTAGTAAAATACAGGGTCCACCAGGAACGTCACAACGCAACACAAATAAATAACAAAACTCTCCTTTGACAACTGGTGCCTCACATCCAATTGAACCCTCCCCCAACACACATACATACACACACACAAGTAATTTCTCTCCAAAGGATTAAGCTTGAAGAGCAAGACATTTTCCCAGCCAGCTAAGTAGTGATCTCTGCACTAGCTGGATCTCACCAGCAACTACTTTAAGGCAGCTTCTACAATTCTCACCTTTATAAAATACAGCTGTGTGTCATACAGGCTTCTGAAGGGCACACCAGAAGGCCTAGCAGCAACATCATCAAAGTCCTCACTCAAATTCTCAACTGTGATCTGCACTGCAAAATGTCTGCAAAACCTGACATGTAACAACTATCATACAAGTCTTATAAAAGCAACAAGGCTACCCACCTCAGATCACTCCAGGTTTGAGGAGGTTTCTAAACAGTTAAAATGCTTCACATAATGCCAACACAGAAAGCTATAAAATCCATTATCACACTTTATGGTAGTTCAAAATGCACCCTGATGGCCTGGTGGCTAGGATTCAGTGTTATCACTGCTGTGGCCCGGGGTTGATTCCCGGTTGGGGCACCTCTAGCTCACAGGCGTTGCAAGCCAGTGACTTCTGTGCTGGTCCCAAGCCCAGATAAATAGAGGGGGTTGCGTCAGGAAGGGCATCCTGCATTAAAAACTTGCCAAAATCTACCATGCAAATCAGTGTGGAAACAGATGATTTGATGTGGTGACCCCTAACGGGAACAGCCGAACATGGAGCATGGTAGTTCAAAATGCAAAAAAAAAAAAAAAAAAAGATGGTAAAGGGAAAAAAC